CACAATTGGGAGAGGCGAATTGGCCACCATGCTTGCGCCGGCGAACCTAGGACGAGCTCGATACTCGCCGGAATCACAAGAGAATGAGGCCGCCGGAGAGGAGGCACCTCAATTGAATGCCGGTGAGGGTTTTCTTTTTTCAATTTAGGGGAGACGCTTGAAGAGAGAGAATGTTAATTTCATGTTTTTTTTTTACTATGTATATATGGATAATCGTATTTTTTCTTTGATTATATACCAATGGAAACAAAAGATATTTTTTAAATGATACCAATATTGAACATCTTTATAGTTGTGAGGCAGATTTTGATATTTTGTCATGTAATTCGTCACGCAAAAATTAAATGGACCACTTGTAACATTATTAAGAAATGTCCACACAGTATGCCTTTCCCGAACAAGTTCCGGCAACAATTATCCTACTTTTAATTGATTTTTACAAGATACGTGATTAATTTTGAGAAAGCCGATGCCAATGGATTAGAGCATCTTCAATGCTATAAGTGTGAAAGACCATTATTTTTAACACATGTCAATTAGTGATTGTAATGTTAATCCACATTGGAATAATGTTAAAAGACTAAAAATTTTAATGAAACTAGTATCTCCAATGCATCAATTTGATAAAAAGTTATTTGTATAGGTGGATCAATTAAATAATTCATTGATACAAAAAAAATAAAAAATTAAACCAAATATAAAGTAAATTGATGAGTCATCATGTTTAACATGGTGTTAGATATTAGAAAGTGTGCTCAACATTGTCAACATTAAATGACATCCACCTCATCATGAAAGAGTTCATGACAAGATGCATTGGAGAAAAAAATAGAGACACACTTTCAAAAGTTGATGATATGAATGACTTTTTATAATGTCAAAAGTTGCATTGGAGATGCTCTTAATAGTAAAACACCCCTAGAATTACGTGACTTAATTTTTAAATTTCCCCGTTCTTTCCTATGGAAAAAGTTACCCTCCCCCTTATCTACAATGACTAATATTTTCTGAGTACATCTCAACTACTTCATACTTCTATTCTTAAATATTATATTATTTTTTAAATTTTAAATTCTCTAATAAACCTCAAGCAGTATCTGGATTTTGAGGCAATCCCATATTCCCCGCAACCATGAAGTACAGAAAACCATTCGGCGATGTGAATGAAATTTGGCTATACATGATGAAATGGGCCCATATCAATTATTATTTCAAGTTCAGTACAGTTAATAAATTAATTTTACAGCTGCTATATTCTCTCTCTATAATCCAGATGGTGGCATTTACACAGTTTACTTCTAAGCACGCACAGCCTATGCCTAGACAGGCATGCATAGCAAGTCAATAGGACACGCCCACCATTAATTTTGGGCAAAACAGACCAAATGGGTCCCAAACCCAAAACCCAATCTCAAATTTTGTAATAAATAAATAAATAAATAAATAAAATCACATCACATACACAGTCCCAATCAAATCCTCAACCTCCCATTTTCTTGAAATAGATAAAATCTATTTTTTTTTTTTTTCCCATGGCCCTAAACCATAGATTTCTTTAATGTACTAGCAGTGGTTGTTGTCATTTGTCATAAAATATTGATGTAAAAATCAAACACACACACACATACACACAAACACAGAGACATTGAAAAAAGAAGTAATTAATAGAGCACTATTTTGTTTCATAGTAGCTAAAATAGCTATAGACTAGAGTCACTAGTTAGCCTATTAATGCAGAAACTCCTACTACATAGTTGGTGACACAGTTTAACATGAGTACCACATTTACTTACATATCAAGAATCTAATTCAGATTCTCTACTTATACATACACATACACACCAGATAATAATAATATCAATAATAATAATAATAACTTCCTAACATAAGATATTCAAAAGATTCAATTGCCAAGAATTGAACTCTCCATTGACCTTTGACCGACCGATATTTCTACCACCACTTGAAGCCACCGGGCCCGGTCAGCATCACATGATGATGATCATCCACAGCATTATCAAAGCCAGGCCCGAATAGAAACGGGCCGTGGGCCCCACTTTCGATATCGGCCTCTTTCTTGCACTGTTTGGAAATGGCATTGCTAAGCTCCTTAAAGGTGAAGTCTTGGGTAGTCGAGAGTAAAGGCTTGGGGAGGATTATGTTGTTAGAGCCCTCGTTTGCGAAAACGAGATTATTATTGGGTTCGAAAGGGTCGCATTGCGAGACGAGTAGGGGGTTGATTAGGGTTTTCAAGTCGGATTGGTATTGCTGTTGGGTGTGGAATAGGATAGGGTTTTGGTTTAGGGTTTGGAGTATTGGTGGGTTGTTGTTGTAGTCTTGAAGATGGGTTTGGGATTCTAAAAGTGGCTCAAGCAATGGGGGGAGTGAATTTGAACTTGTAGTGTTGTTGGTGAAGTAGTTTAGGCCTTGAAGAATTGTTGGACTTTTCTTGTCACCTATCTTGTGGAAAATTCTGCATATCACCCACTCTTCCTGTTTTTTTTTACATAAAATAAAATAAAATTAGTATCACAAACAAGTTTTAGTAATAAGATTTTCATATATTTAGTAATAACAATAATTAATGTCACTAACCCTTTTCATATATATATTTACTTCTTTGCAGGCAAGTATTAAGAGGAGTAATAGTGATTAAAATCCTGCAGTGGTCTCTATCCTTTTACAAAAATCCCAAGTAATGATCTAATTTTGGCCTGCCAGCCCACAAATATCTACACTTTGTATCTCATGTCATTTAAAGATAATAATATGAAGACAGCATAGTTCTAAAGGCATAAATGCTTAAGGTAAATCAATGTGAATCAGCCTGCAATGAGTTTTTGCAAATTGCAATAATTACCATGCATTAATTCCTAGCTGGCCTTTTCATTTTGCAACTATATAGTTTGGGGATCCTTCTTTTTTAGTTTCTACATATTTCTAAAGTCACAGTACTT